TTCTGCCACAAAACCTTATAATCATTTCATCTATAGAAATATTAGATGATGGTACATAAATTGATTGTGATATCCTATTTATGTGGGATGCTAATGGTTCAACTTTTGAATACCAAAATGGATGATTCTCTCTATATCAGAAATATGCAAAAAATTTTTAATTTTTTCAAAATTTCTAATACTCATATATGATGCAATAGAATGTATTGGGTATTCTTTTTTTTTATTCCACAAATCTCGAATTGATGGCATTTTAAATAATCCAGCATAGATAATAATTCCTAACCAAATTTTTATGTCAAATAAATCGATGCTTAACCATGAATTTCCTCCATTTTTATTTATTGCATATTTATTGGTATTAGTTACAATTGTTGCTAAAATAGAATCAGAGAAAAATAATTTAAAAATTTCATAAGGGCTAACTGAATCAAGTCTATTAAATTCTCCTGGCAAATTATCTTCAGAATCATGTAATGGATTACGATGATTAAGTTGATTAAATAGTGGTGGATGTGGAAGGTTAATTTGTTGAATTTGTGTTCCTTCAATTCTTGTAGTTGTTGGAGTTTCATCTATCTCCATTTCCTCAGTAGTCCCATCATTATCAGTTCCATTACCATCTTCTAAATTGTCAAGGGATTCAATAAATTCATTATACTCAAGAGATTCATCTTGGTAAATATTTTGTGGTCTTCTTGTAATATTAGCAATATAATAATCTAATTCATTATCAGAATCTTGTTGATTTTCTTCAAAAATATTTTCTTGCATTTTAATTGAACTCTTTTTTATTTTTTTATTTTTTTATTTTATAGATACAGTAATTATCAATAAATTGAATTTCCTTGATGTATCTTCTACTTGGGCTTATATATAGAAGATTTAGATCAAGTAAAAGCCGTTTTAAAACATATATATACATTGGCATCATACATTCATCATGGTCTTATACAAAATTTTTGTTGTATGTTCATTATAAAAACATTACTAAAATCAGGCTATTTAAATTTTGGATCAGGACATGATAACAGCTGTTTAAAAATCGTATGATACCAAAATATTATAAATAACGGGATTCGGAAAACCTTTTATTTATTCCAGATTTTTGTACTACATAAACAATACATAATAAAATTTAGAAAATTTACATAATAATAAACCATTATTATTTTATTTACATATTGAGATACTATTGAGAAGAACTTTTGAATAGTACACGCCACACCCGGGATTTTACATAAAAACTTTTTTGTGTAAAGAAAAAACAGAATTCGAAATTTAGACCATATTTGGTCTAAAAATCGTTTAAGGGATACCCTTCTCAATATTAAATTTTTGTGTAATCTATTCTGGCCAATCAATTTTTCTTTTTTTGTGTAATCTGATTGACGAAAATCATTACCAATTATAAGAATGTCCACCATGCTTTTTTAATCAAATTTTTTGGCCTTCCAGCTTTTGATAAAATTTTAACACAACCACTGTTCGGATAACTATTGTTTTTGGAAAACCAAGTGTTTTTTAACACTGTTGTATCCAAATCCACCCTTTATAGAGACTGATTATATTGACTAACTGATTTTAATATTATATTGAAGTTCTAAGGGAATTGTTTAAAATAAAAGTAACAAAAACACATGACAAGAATATATTGCTAAAAACATTAAAACCATTTTAATTGTTAAAATGCCAAACAATGTTGTTATGTTAGATTGAGCATTTAATAAAAATTTAACAATAAATGCTAAAAATCTGAAATATTTTGGAACTAAAAATTCTTATGATTTCCATTTTTTTGAAGTTTTCCATTCTTTCTCTAATTTACTATGATCAAATTTTGAACACAGACACCATGGACAAAAATGATTTGCAGTTGCATTGTTTATTCCTAAACAAATTGATAAAAATTTCCAATCACTGCTAAAGTATATAGTTATTCTCCATTTTTGCCCAATTGAATCAATAAATCCATTCTTGTCAATATCATCAAGCTCTTCTATAAGTTGGTGTAAAGCTTTTTGTAAGTATTCATATTTTTCGATACCAGAATATAGTACTAGGCTATAATGATAATCTGGTAGAAAAAAGCATTTTTATTATTCATAATTGCAAATGTAATCATGACATGCTTGATTTTTTTACCAACATTTCTTCCATCTCCAGATATTCTAATATGAACATTATCATCCAAAGTATAACCAAGTACTTTTTGATTAATTAGCATTTTAATTACAAATGTTAAAATTTTCTTTATACTGCGATATCCACCTTCACCTAG